CTGAGATAGATAGATAGATAGATGGATAGATAGATAGATAGATAGATAGAGACAAAGATAGATAGATAGATGAAGAGTCGGCATTAAATAACCCATTGAGGTTGATATGCCGTAAAACAAACCAAACCAAACCCATATGTACTGAGATAGATAGATAGATAGATAGATAGATAGATAGATAGATAGATAGATAGATACAAAGATAGATAGATAGATATGAAGAGTCGGCATTAAATAACCCATTGAGGTTGATATGCCGTAAAACAAACCAAACCAAACCCATATGTACTGAGATAGATAGATAGATAGATAGATAGATAGATAGATAGATAGATAGATAGAGACAAAGATAGATAGATAGATATGAAGAGTCGGCATTAAATAAATCATTGAGGTTGATATGCCGTGCAAAAAACAAACCAAACCCATATGTACTGAGATAGGATAGATAGATAGATAGATAGATAGATAGATAGATAGATGGATAGATAAAAGATAGATAGATAGATATGAAAAGTCCTGCATTAAATAACCCATTGAGGTTGATATGTACGTAAAACAAACCAAACCAAACCCATATGTACTGGAGATAGATAGATAGATGAGATAGATAGATAGATGGATAGATAGATACAAAGATGATGATAGATATGAAGAGTCGGCATTAAATAACCCATTGAGGTTGATATGCCGTAAAACAAACCAAACCAAACCCATATGTACTGAGATAGATAGATAGATAGATAGATAGATAGATAGATAGATAGATAGATAGAGACAAAGATAGATAGATAGATATGAAGAGTCGGCATTAAATAACCCATTGAGGTTGATATGCCCGTAAAACAAACAAAACCAAACCCATATGTACTGATAGATAGATAGATAGATGGATAGATAGATAGATAGATAGATAGATAGATGGATAGACAAAAAGATAGATAGATGGATAAGAAAGAGTCGGCATTAAATGACCCATTGAGGTTGATATGCCGTAAACAAACCAAACCAAACCCATATGTACTGAGATAGATAGATAGATAGATAGATAGATAGATAGATGGATGGATAGATGAGACAAAGATAGATAGATAGATAAGGAAGAGTCGGCGTTAAATAGCCATTGAGGTTGATGTGCCGTAAAAACAAACAAACCAAACCCATATGTACTGAGATGATAGATAGATAGATAGATAGATAGATAGATAGATAGATAGATAGATAGACAAAGATAGATATAGATATGATGAGTCGGTATTAAATAACCCATTGAGGTTGATATGCTGTAAAATAAACCAAACCAAACCCATATGTACTGAGATAGATAGATAGATAGATAGATGAATATAGATAGATAGATAGATAGATGAATGAAGAGTCTCCAGGCATTAAATAACCCATTGGAGGTTGATATGCCGTAAAACAAAACCAAACCAAACCCATATGTACTGAGATAGATAGATAGATAGATAGATAGATAGATAGATAGATAGATAGATGATAGATAGATGCAAGATAGATAGATAGATAAGAAGAGTCGGCATTAAATAACCCATTGAGGTTGATGTGCGTAAAACAAACAAACCAAACCCATATGTACTGAGATAGATAGATAGATAGATAGATAGATAGATAGATAGATAGATAGATAGATAGATGAATGAGACAAAGATAGATAGATAGATGAATGTGGAAGAGTCGGCATTAAATAACCCGTTGGGGTTGATGTGTAAACAAACCAAACCAAACCCATATGTAATTGGATAGATGGATAGATGGATAGATAGATAGATAGATAGATAGATAGATGGATAGATGACAAAGATGACAAAGGATAGATATAAAGATGTGAAGTATTAAATAACCCATTGAGGGTTGATATGCCGTAAAAACAAACAAACCAAACCCCATGTACTGAGATAGATAGATAGATAGATGGATGGATAGATAGATAGATGGATAGATGGATACATGCAAGATAGATGGATAGATGTGAAGAGTCGGCATTAAATAACCCATTGGGGGTTGATGTGCCGTAAACAAACCTCAACCAAACCAGCATGTACTGAGATAGATAGATGGATAGATAGATAGATATAGATAGAGACAAAGATAGATAGATGAATGTGAAGAGTCGGCATTAAATAACCCATTGAGGGTTGATATGCCGTAAAACAAACAAACCAAACCCATATGTACTGAGATAGATAGATAGATAGATAGATAGATGAATGAATAGATAGATAGATAGATAGAGACAAAGATAGATAGATAGATGTGAAGAGTCGGCATTAAATAACCCATTGAGGGTTGATATGCCGTAAAACAAACAAACCAAACCCATATGTGCTGAGATAGATAGATAGATAGATAGATAGATAGATGGATAGATAGATAGATAGAGACAAAGATAGATGGATAGATGTGAGAAGAGTCGGCATTAAATAACCCATTGAGGTTGATGTGCCGTGAACAACCAAACCAAACCCATATGGTACTGAGATAGATAGATAGATGGATGGATAGATGGATGGATGGGGACAAAGATAGATGGATGGATATGAAAAGTCGGCATTAAATAACCCAACAGTTGATATGTAAAACAAACCAAACCAAACCCATATGTGCTGAGATATAGATAGATAGATGGATAGATAGATGGATGGATGGGGGATAGATGGATGGATGGATAGATGGATATAGAGACAAGATAGATAGATGAATATGAAGAAATCGGCGTTAAATAACCCATTGGGGTTGATATGCTGCAAAACAAACCAAACCAAACCCATATGTACTGAGATAGATAGATAGATAGATAGATGGATAGATGATAGATAGATGAATAGGGACAAGATAGATAGATAGATATGAAGAGTCGGCATTAAATGAATCCCATTGAGGTTGATATGCCGCAAAACAAACCAAATAGGCCCATATGTGCTGGGATAGATGGATGATGGAGGATAGATGGATAGATGGATGGATAGATGGATAGATGGATGGATGGGACAAAGATGAATAGATAGATGTGAAGAGTCGGCGTTAAATAAATCATTGAGGGTTGATATGTCGTAAACAAAAATAAACCAAACCAATATGTACTGGAAATGGATGGATATGGATCAGATAGATAGATGGATGGATGGATGGATGGATAGATAGATGGGGGACAAGATAGATGGATAATGTGGAAAACCAAATTAAATAACCAATTAAACCAAGAATACGTGCACTGTATTCACAAAAATCTAACTAAAAATATTTGTCGGGATGGATAACCCATAGATGGATAGATAGATGGACAAAATAAATAGAACCAATCTAAGATGAAACAAGATAGATAGATAGATATCTAGAGTCGGCATTAAATAACCCCATTGAGGTTGATGTGTCGTAAAACAAACCAAACCCAATGTACTGAGAAAGATAGATAGATTTATAGATATTCGATGGATATGATAGATAGAAATGATTGATAGATAAATAGACAAAGATAGATAGATAGATATAAAGAGTCGGCCAAAAATAACCCAAAAAGGGGTTGATATGCCAAAACAAATCTAACCAAACCCATATGTCGGCATTAAATAGATAGATGAGGTTGATAGATAATGATGAAATAAATAGATAGGGGACAAAGATAGATAGATAGATGTGAAGAGTCGGCATTAAATAACCCATTGAGGTTGATGTGCCAAAAACAAACCAAACCAAACCCCATATAACCAAAAGAGAGATAGATTGATAGATAGATAGATCTATAATGACAGATGAATAGATAGAGACAAGATAGATAGATAAGATAACAAGAAATAAACCAAATAAACCAAAAGAATTGATATTGCCGTCAAACAAATCCAAACCAAACCCATATGTACTGAGATAGATAGATAGATAGATAGATAGATAGATAGATAGATAGAGAGATAAATAAATAGATTGATGCCAGAACTAGAAAAATGAATATAACAAATTGATAGATAGATAGATGTTTTATTCATATTATATATATATATATATATATATATATATATGAAAATAGTCGGCATTAAATAACCCATTGAGGTTGGCCTATAAATTGTTCATCACGTAAAAACAAAATAAACCAGAACCAAGAATAACAATATTCATAGAAAGCAAATTATAAAAATGATATGGATTTTTAAAGGTGTTTTTCTAAACCAAACGATGCCATTATATATTCATATATATATATCTATTTGATTTCACGGCATTGTGTGTAAAATGTGTGTGTGTGTGTGTGTGTGTGTTTGTGTGTTTTTGCTGTGTGATAGCTATGCTAGCAAAATAAACCAAAGTCATCGAAACCAAAGGGCTTGAGCGTGCTGGCCTAGTTCAAATTGTTCATCACGCGATGTGGAAGAAAACAACGTTCTACTCAACGTTAACCAGGTTAGAACTGTTTTTGAATCCGTCCACGCCTGAAGACAGTCGTGAGTCATATGTAGGCCTGCCTGGTGGCTGAGAAATAGTTGCTCATTTTCCCTACTTTTAACAAGCCGGTTCTCAAGTATTTCATAGCCAACAGCAGAACCTGCGCCCCACAAAAACACACTTCTAATATTGACGCTATACACTCTTCTCATTCCACGATCGCCCTTTTGTTGAAGGATAAAAATTTTTGTTGTGAATGCTCCTATCCAAACGATGGCAACCAAATAACAGTCAAAAAAGAAAATTCCCTCTTTGGAAAGATAGGCGCAATATTATCACGCTCTCCATTTGATTTCATTTGGCATTGTGTTGTAATGATCACCATTAAAACAAATCATAGGTTATTCGGAATATCAGTTGGCAGCATCTCTACAAAAATATTTAAAGACACAAAAGTTTATCGCGCGGAAAGACAAAAATTAGTAATCCTATAAGCTGTATACCAACAAAGGGTGGAGACACCATTAATTGCATTTAGCTTGGCGGTGACGTCAAACCAACCACGTGTTTGCTGCCCCGGATCGTGAGAAGAAAATCGGCATCACGTGCTGACGAGACACGTGACTTCTAGACGCCGAAAAGTAAAATAAAAACGTAGAGGCCGCTGAGCTAAATCGAGGTAAATAGAAAATTATATAGCAAATTTGTTCTTTTCGCATTTTCAGCCTCTCAGGCGTGTCAGTGCATTGTGGGGTGACTCATTTTATAGGCACGTTCTTCGACCGATGGTTTCAACTCTCGACAAGAGTTTTCTTTTATTTTCAAATATATTTTTTTTAAAAACTTTTATTTCATTTTCTGAGCTCATCTAAGTTTTCTCTGTGAGAGCGTCCCATGCAAAATGTGCTAAACAACGCACAAAGTGCTGGTCACGTTTCATTCATCCATCAACTCAGATTAATATATTCAAGTATAAATCTTTATCTGAGCTGAGAACCTTTTCAAAAGAATACTACATATTGTATTCATCCCATAAAAATGTTGTCGGCATTAAATATATATATATATATATATATATATATATATATATATGTTGTATATATATATATATAAACAAAATATTATTGAATAAAACATACATTAAGTCTGCTAATTTTAAATAAAAATCCCTAAAAAATGTTCATACCACGAATAACCTATCCTGTATTGATGTTAAAGGATGATAGAAATGTGCTATTGATGTTTACATTTCTTTTATTTTCAAACCATTAAACCAAAGAATATACTGTACTTTTGCTCTTCTTCCAAAATCATCTTCAAAAGGGGTGCAAATGTAATACAAAACTATATGTTGTTCCATTAAACCAAAGAATACATATTGTATTCATTTATACAAAGTTGTGCGTTGTTATTCATTACCGTATTTTTTTTATTATGCTTTAAATGCAAAATGGTTGACAATGTGCTGAGTGTTCATTAGAACGTGAAAAAATTATCCATTATGGAATTTTTTTCTCTCTATGTGATTATGTCACGCATTAAAGCGTGGACAACTGTTCCTTTACAGGCATTTTAGAACATTACTGCAGTATTTATAGTTTATTCTGTACAGTGCCGGCTTTAATTTTTTTTAAATATAAATTGCTTCTAGTATCTGTAATCTAATTTTGTTGTTTTCGTGGTGAAGGATATTTGTATTGTCGATTAGTCATTTTTTATATTGTGAATGCGTACAGGAATGTTGTAGATGTCTCGTAATAGACGAATGGTCAGACATGTGTAATCAAACAAATCTATCCTAAATATTTTATCGTATACCCAAAATAAACATATAATTAATTAGATAATATCTGTAATTCTATTCCAAAACAATACATTGTATTCATACAAATCTATCTTAAAATGCTGTTTTAATAAATAAACTAATATATATGCATCCTCATTCATCTCCCGGTAATAGCAGGGAAAGAAAATAAACCGGTTATATAACCGGTCAAGAAGGACAAATAAACTTAAACCAAAGAATTAAAACTCTCCGAAAAAATGTGTTTTTGGGGGACCAAAATTGTAAACCAAAGATACATTGTGTACCAGTTCAAAATAAACCAAAAAATGTGGTTAGTTCAGCACAAAAGCCTTCACCATTATAAACAAATCATAAAAATGTGCAGTTAAATAACTGATATCGATTCCATCTAGGAACGAAGTTGTTTGAAAACAAAATAAACCTCATACGTCGAAAAACGACGGGAGAGTTGATATATATATAAACCAAACCAATAAACCAAAGAATATAAATATTTAAAGATTAAATGTTTGAGTGGTACAAAAAAAATAAACCAAACCAATTTAACCAAAGTTTATTCACAAATCAATCTAAATAGACAAAAATTAGTTTTTATTATTACCAATCATGATAATAAAAAAGCTGTTGTGGATTCCGACATTAGAAATTGAGGTATATGTCCAATAAATAAAACAAACGCCAAAGAATGAATATATCCTATGAAAAATGTATTAAAACAAAAATAAACCAAACCATCTAAACCAAAGTAATAATATAAAATCTATCCTAAAAATGGTAATGCCAGGTTGATAGTTCCAGGAATACATATTGTATCATTTACAACTAGCAAAATTATATATTGACAAAATCTTTGGTAAACTAAAGAATACATATTGTATTCCTTAAAAATCTGAGTCTACGTGCTAAAAACGCTCACATTAAATTGATATATGTGGCTATGTTCGTTCTGTCTGTCTGTTGTTTGGCCTTTACTCAAAAATAAACTCTTCCGGTTACCTATCCTAAAAATGTTGTCGGCAAATCTTTTCAAAAACAAAAAATCCAAACTAATCCTTGTAGTTCGTCGGGTAAACCCGTTGAGGTTGATATGTCGTAAAAACAAAATAAACCCATTTGTGTAAGAAGGGATTAAATAACCTATTGAGGCGGATCAAAAAACAAAAGTAAAAATGAAAAACGGCATTAAATAACCCATTGAGGTTTATGTCGTGTAAACCAAACTCGAATGAAACAAATGAGCTAAACAAAATCGAGGTAAATAAAAGAATAAAATTATATAAATCTATCCTAAAAATTGTGCTTTTTTTTATCCAAACTCTTAACCAAAGAATTTGTTCTGCCATCCATTTACACAAAACCGCTGTAAACCCAAAAACCAAAGTCCTCTTCTTTCAAAAATGCCCTATGAGTGTTAAATTTTCCAAATCCACTTTCCTTATTAAAATGTTGTCGGTAAGTAACCTAGAAATTTATTCATACAAATCTATCCTAAAATGTTAAATAGAGGTTGATATGTCTTTTTTCTAAACTTAAGAATGTGTACTTTTTCATTCAATTTTATTTAAAAACTTCGTCGCTGTTCACATTTTCCTAAAAATGTTGTCATGGCATTCTCAGCATCCTTCTGTATAGCCCCATTTTTATCGGTTCAATTTTAAACTTTTTTCATCCGTGAAGAGATTGTCCAATCTTCAAAGAATACATCATACAAATATAAAAAATGGATAAATCAGGTTGATCCTAAATAACCCATTAAACCAAAAGAATACTACATCCGTTGTCAGAGGTCCTATGTAAAAAAAAAATAAACCAAACCATCTCCAAAGCAGCAATACCCCTTTTCATGAGGTTTTGAGGAACGTTGTCGGCACCTCTTAATATGTCGCCCCATTCCCAGGTCCACCCTGACCTAATGGTAAATCAAAGAATACATGTATTCATAGGGTCCCAGCTATTGGCAAAATAGTTAACTATTAGCATAAAAACTTTTGTCGGCAAATTAAACTACCAGCAATACAATTTTGAAGTTGTCGAAAAGTATTCCAAAACAGATTTTTGACAAAACAAAATATTACCAGAATACAATAAAATTTTGTCAGCATTAAATAACCCATTGAGGTTGATATGCCGTAAAAAATAAACAAAATAAACCAAACCAAACTGATTTTCTACAAAGAATACATATTCTATTCATTCGAATCTATCCTAAAAATATTGTCAGCATTAAATAACCCATTGAGGTTGATACACCGTAAAACAAAATAAACCAAACCAATCTAAACCAAAGAATACATATTGTATTCATACAAATCTATCCTAAAATGTTGTCGGCATTAAATAACCCATTGAGGTTGATATGTCGTAAAACAAAATAAACCAAACCAATCTAAACCAAAGAATACATATTGTATTCATACAAATCTATCCTAAAAATGTTGTTCATACATTAAATAACCCATTGAGGTTGATATGTCGTAAAACAAAATAAACCAAACCAATCTAAACCAAAGAATACATATTGTATTCATACAAATCTATCCTAAAAATGTTGTCGGCATTAAATAACCCATTGAGGTTGATATGTCGTAAAACAAAATAAACCAAACCAATCTAAACCAAAGAATACATATTGTATTCATACAAATCTATCCTAAAAATGTTGTCGGCATTAAATAACCCATTGAGGTTGATATGTCGTAAAAATAAACAAAAATAAACCAAACCATATCAAACCAAAAGAATACATACTGTATTCATACAAATCTATCCTAAAATGTTGTTTGATTAAATAACCCATTGAGGTTGATAGATAGAAAACAAAATAAACCAAACCAATCTAAACCAAAGAATACATACTGTATTCATACAAATCTATCCTAAAAATGTTGTCGGCATTAAATAACCCATTGAGGTTGATATGTCGTAAAACAAAATAAACCAAACCAATCTAAACCAAAGAATACATACTGTATTCATACAAATCTATCCTAAAAATGTTGTCGGCATTAAATAACCCATTGAGGTTGATATGTCGTAAAACAAAATAAACCAAACCAATCTAAACCAAAGAATACATATTGTATTCATACAAATCTATCCTAAAAAATGTTGTCGGCATTAAATAACCCATTGAGGTTGATATGTCGTAAAAACAAAATAAACCAAACTAATCCCAACCAAAGAATACATATTGTATTCATACAAATCTATCCCAAAAATGTTGTCGGCATTAAATAACCCATTGAGGTTGATATGTCGTAAAAAAAAAATAAATAAACCAATCTAAACCAAAGAATACATATTGTATTCATACAAATCTATCCTAAAAAATGTTGCCATTAAATAACCCATTGAGGTTGATATGTCGAAAAACAAAATAAACCAAACTAATCTAAACCAAAGAATACATATTGTATTCATACAAATCTATCCTAAAATGTTGTCAGCATTAAATAACCCATTGAGGTTGATATGTCGTAAAAACAAAATAAACCAAACCAATCTAAACCAAAGAATACATATTGTATTCATACAAATCTATCCTAAAAATGTTGTCGGCATTAAATAACCCATTGAGGTTGATATGTCAAACAAAATAAACCAAACCAATCTAAACCAAAGAATACATATTGATTGTATTCATACAAATCTATCCTAAAAATGTTGTCGGCATTAAATAACCCATTGAGGTTGATATGTCGTAAAACAAAATAAAAAACCAAAAACCAAAGAATACATATCTAAAATCTATCAAAATGTTGTCAGTATTAAATAACCCATTGAGGTTGATATGTC